AAAAAAAAATTTTTTTTTCTTTAAATGCACACCTTCTCTAAATGCACACTTGCTCTTGGTCCCAAGGGGGTGCATTTAGGGAGGGTTCTCTGTAATTATATTTTCTGCTTGGATTGCTTTTTAATTCAAAAAATCAAACTTTATATTAAAATTCTCTATATTATTAACTTGAAGAATTAATAATATATTTAATATATATCTCTTACTATTACTTAATACATTCTGTTATATCACTAAAAACCAAAAATTTCCACTTAAAATTTTTTTATCAAAAAACTATAATCAGTTTACTTTTGTCAACTAATTGACATTCCAAATCCAACCAATCAAATACTACCAAATTTCAAAATCACTCTATATAATCAAAATACCATATATTTATTAATGTAAACAAATCCTATTTTAACAGTATCAATCAAAACAAGATCACACTACAAAAAAATAAATCAATAAATATATCAACAAAAATATTAATAATCATAACAATAATATATAATTTAAGTAATATGTCAATAATACTATTATTATCTACTCTGAACAGTAGTCTGGCCTAGGGCTCCTAACGATATCACTTCAATACCACTTCGATACCAGTTTGATACTTAAATTTACTATAAAAACATATGAGTAGGTCACAACTCATATATTAAATTTACTATAGATTGGTACCATTTTGATACCAGTTTGATACTTTTTCGGAGCCTTAGTCTGACCATTTTTGAAAGTAGTATTCTACTTTGGTTAAATAGATTTACCAATATAATATATCTAATTTAAGGCATTTCTTATATAATATATCTAATTTAAGGCATTTCTTATATAATAATTAGTTTTTTTTTACTTTTCTTTTGATTATTATCAAATACTTAAATACAAACAACTATACCATTATTACAATAACAATATGATTATAACCAATCATCTATCAAGAAAATATATTACCAATACTATTATATACTTTGAACAATAGCTTGGCTATTTCTGGAAGTACAAATATTATACTTCAGTTAAATGAAATTACCAGCATGGTGTGCCTAGTAATTTTATTCAAAGTATTTATATCTTTATGATTAGTTTTGTTGTATTTATTTTTTTATTTAGTATTTTCTTTTTTTCTTCAATTTTTTATTTCTTATAATCTTATATGTAAATCCAAATAGATATTTATAGCTATTTAATACTATTTAGAATGTATATTAATTTTAATATTTATTTTTTATATTGTTTAGATAGTTTTTGTAGGTAAGCTAGTATTAGACTTACTGATCAATTGGTTATATAAAAGATGTTACTTTCTGCATGTAAAATAATTTAAATTTTTTATGATAATAAAGAGATAATATTTATTTACTTTAAAAAAAAATTTCAAGTATAGAAGAGAGAATGGAAAAGAGTTATATTGTTATTTTTTTATATACTATATATAAAATTTTTATATTTTATATAATTAATAAAGTGATAATATTTATTTATAAAAAAAATAAAATAAAATAAAAAATTTGATTTATGAAAAATTTTTTTTTGTTTAAACTTTTATATATATAAAAGTTAATTTACTAATGTTTTTTAAATGAATATTTCTTTAAATATATATATATTACTAGACAATTAATTATAAAGTTTTAAATAGTATTAGTACATTTTAAATTTATTCTTATTCTATATCTATTTGATTTTTTTTCTTAAAAGAAAGTTTTTTGACAAAATAAAAGTGAATAAAAAAAATGGGTTTTTTTTTTAATTTAATATTTTCTATACTATAATCATAATACATATAAACAAGTTAATAAAAGAGAAAGAGTATTTTATGTATTTTGTAATTATTTTAATTTGTTAAATTTCTATTTTTTCAATGTTAACTTTATAAAAAATTTTAAACTTTTGCGATTGTTCTTTATATTGTATATTTATTTTTGATAGTATGTTAAAACAAAAGTTTATACTATATCTTAATAATTTAGTTATATGTAAAAATATAAAAATATAAAAAAAAAAAGTTATTTCTGTAAAATTTATAATTTAGATTATTCAATTCGAATAATGTGGTTTTCAAAAAAAGGAATCAACTTTTAAATTAAAATCTTTATATTAAAGGATATTATTTAAAAGATGAAAATGTACAGTTCAAAATAATATACTGCATATATTATAATTGTCATATACACTATTTTATTTATTATGTTATCGAATTAATTTTTAAAAATTTGCAGAATTTGTCTGCAGCACTTCAAAAATTAATTATATATTAAAATTTTTTTTAATCTTTCGATCTAATTTAGAAAGTATTTAAAACTCATGTAAAGAAAAGGCAAAATTCGATCTTGTACATGTGACTATCCAGATTGCATTGAAGAGTCAGTAACGCGAAAAACCCGCTTATCTTGGGTGACAAAGTTATAATGAAAGTTAATGGCTTCATTGTCTAGTAAGACGAAACCAAAAATGAATACAACAGAAATAGGTAAACTGTGACTTAAGCAGACTTATCTGATTGTATGGCTAAATCCGAAGAAACACAGTATAAATAATAAAATGGTTTGACCTCAAAATAAAATTGGTATTGCGATTTCACATGAATACAACGAGAATTACATAACAATTAAGAGATACAGTAGTTGTACATGAATACAGAATCTGCCAGATAAGATAAGATAAATATGAAGGAGACATTGCACAAAACTTCTAAGATTAGCTATATTAATTAATAATTGTGAGAATCGAATTCGAATTGGAGAAGCGGTTTTACAAACTCTAAATTATTTTTGCGAAATTTCGAATATTGTAATTGTTGAATACTTTTTTATACTGGACATTAATAAATGTTGTCCATAAATTTGTACGCCAATTTTATCTCTCGGAATGGTTTTGAAGGCGTATTAAGTTTTCTTTTGTTTATATCGACAAACAAACGGATCTGATAAGTTTAAATATGAAGGAAAAAAAATTTTTTTTTGATAATGAGATGTCAAACCAATTAAAAAATTCAATTCAACGATACCATTATCTTATCAAAGGAAAAAAAAAAAAGGGTCAAAATTTTTTTGATTGATAATGATAAGGTAGAATAGTAAAGTGACGGCAAACAAAATGTATAAATATAAACTCACGAAATCAAAGTTGTATCTTAAAATTAAAAATGAGCTCACGCGAAATTGAAGCCGGAGAATCTCGAAATTTAAACCATAACTTTTCCTTATGGCACAATCCACTACTTTATGTTCGCTCATCCATCAAAGAGAGAACATTACATATAAAAGAGAATACAACATTATCAGAATTAAGTGGAAGTCTTGGAGATCTGGGCACCTTGCTTCCAATATTGGTAACTCTTTCAATCGCCGGACAAATTTCTTTGACTTCATCGCTTATATTTGGAGGCCTATGGAATATCATTAGTGGCTTGATTTTTCGAATTCCCATGTGTGTTCAACCTATGAAAGGTGATAAATAGTTTATTTCATTATTTCATTGTTTTTGAAAATATTAATAATACTCAAAAAAAAAAAAAAAAAAATCAGCCATCGCAGCGGTAGCAGTCTCGGCACATTTAACGAAAGGTGAAGTAATGTCGGCAGGTATTGGTGTTGGTGCTATGATATTTCTTCTTGGAATCACAAGAACCATTAAGCTTGTCGAAAGGTGGACACCCATTCCAGTAATCAGAGGTATTCAATTGGGAGCTGGAATTACGTTAATTATAAAAGCTGTAGATCTAGTTCAAAAAAATGGTAGTTGGGGTGGTAGTTCTTGGAAATGGAATGACAATTATGAATGGTCTATTGTATCGTTCATATTCGTATTTACATTTTATTCATCTAAAAGAATGCCGACGGCATTAATTCTATTCGTTATTGGTTTAATAATTGCTCTTGTAAAGATCTTTAAATCTAATAGTGCATTGCCATCGATCTTATTTAATTATCCTGAAATTGTTGTCCCGACCCCCGGAGAATTTAAGACCGGATTTCTTAGTGCATCTCTTGGCCAACTTCCACTGACAGCCCTCAATTCCGTTATTGCATTAGCAGCATTGGCTAATGATTTATTCCCGGAACGTTCATCATTGAATACCGTTGGAAAAATTTCAATTTCTGTCGGACTCATGAATATTATTGGATGTTTTTTCGGTTCTATTCCATATTGTCATGGGTCAGGTGGACTGGCTGGACAATACCGTTTTGGTGCAAGATCCGAAGTCAGTATTTTGGTTCTCGGATTTTTTAAGCTGATCGTGGGGATATTATTCGGAAAAACTTTAACCAATCTTCTAAATTACTTTCCTAATTCAATTCTTGGCGTAATGCTCTTTGTTTCTGGAGCGGAATTAGCATCCGCAGCGCGAAATTTCATGAACGCTTGTGATAATAGTGACGATGTTGAGAAAAAGAAGATTAATTTTACTCTAGTGATCGTAACAGCAGGGTTATTGGTCGGTTTTCAAAATGATGGGATTGGATATGTTGGTGGTATGCTGGTTAGCCTGTTGTTTTTTATAATTCGCCATTTTGATCTTAAATCTAGCGATAGTGTATAATAGTTTTTATTTTACAATTATAATATACAATATTTTATAATACTAAATATCCAGTGTTTTATACAAAATTTGATTTTTCGTTTTATTTATTGAATATTTATATTTTACAAAAAGATTTAAATGTAAATATAATAAATTTTGAATTTTAAAAAATTGGTATTTTTTTTATCATTTAAATTTTTTCAAGATTATCAAATCCAAAGCTCAATCTTCTATTCCATATTATAATATTATACAAACATTATTTGCAGTTATGTTATAGGATCAAAATATTATATAATACAACGTTAAAGTGTAAAGATAACTGAATATATAGTAAATATCGTAAATAAAATATAAAGTAAATGCAATGAATATATTAAGTATAAAATTATATCAAATAATAAGTATAGGTAATTAACATAGATGATTTTGAATGACTAGAATAATCCATATTTATTATATCTTATATGAATCAATTCACAATAATTGTATTTTACAATTTACATTTTACCTCTATATAATTTTAAACCCAACTATCTATAATAAACTTACTAGAATAAGTATATATAAGTATATTTATTATATGATTTATCTTTGTTATATTAGAGTATCTTCTTTACAAAATTATTTTTTCTAATACTTATATATCACAAGTATTAAATTAGAATAATTATTATTTATAACTTTTGTAAATTATTCTCTATAATATAAATTATTAAAAATTATTAAATTGAAATAAAAATTAATAATATAATAGAAATAACTAATATATCAAGTTTTATGTCTTCAATCTTAGTATCATTATTAATAAGATCAAACCTAAAGAATAATATTTAATATTGTTAATTATAATTAGATATATGATTATTAAATAAAGTATTTTTTTAATGATTTCATTAATTATAAAAGAAAAAAATAATTGTATATAAAAATAATTCATTAAAAGTATAAAATTTTTTTTTTAAATTAGGTTTGTTTTGAATTTAATAAAATATTTTATATTAAAAAAATAAGCTTGTTAATTATATTTAGAGGTACTTTAAAAATTATTATTATAAAAGAAAATATTTTATAAAAATTAATTAATAAGAATTTTTTTTAATAATATATGTTTTTTTTTAATTTTATTAATAAATAATTTAATGTTTGTATTAATAGTGAATTTAACTTTAATTCTAGAAATTAAAGTTTTAAATTATTAAAAAAAATAATCATCAATTAATTATAATATTTTAAATTTTTATTTAATTAATATCTTAATTTATTTATTATATTAATTATATATTTTTTATATTTAAACTTATATTGTTATATTAATAATAATTTTTACAAAATTTTTTAATATTTTATAATTAAAACTTAATATAAAAAATTAAATTCAAACTATACAAATAAAATTTTTAAGTAATAAATAAAAAAAAATCTAATTTTTTTCAATTGCTATAACAAAATTTATAATAATCTTATTTATTTAAATATATTAATAAATATAATTGTTTATTTATTAATCTTTTAAATTTCTAATAATTAAGATAATTTTAAAGAAATAAATTTTTTATTTTTTAAATATTAATTTAAACTTTTAAAAGTTTTATCAAAAAAAATCATATTTAATAATTTTTATTAAATTAAAAATAAAAAAAAAATAATATTGAAAATTTTAAAAATAATTAAAAAAATAAAAATAAATATTATTGTTTAATTAAATAAAAATTTAAATTTTTTAAATTTTTTTATTACTTAATTATAATTAATTAAATCATAATTTTATCAAAAAATTTTTCTAAATATATTAATTATTAAAAAATACAAAATCAACAATTTTTTTAAAAAGTTTTTGTATAATTTTTTCAAATTCAAAAATTCATATATATATATTTTAATATAAACTTATTTAAATATTTAAAAAAATTTTAAATTTATTATATTATTATAATATTACAAAATATATATTTATAAATTTTAATATTACAAAAAAAATGTAATAATAAAATAATAATTATTTTTTATAATAAACAAAACTCATTATACTTATTGACTTTTTCAAAAAAAATATTAATAAAAATTTTAACAAGATTTAATAATAATTTTTCTTTAAATAATGTTTTATAAAAATTAATCTTGCAGATCCATTTAAACTTATACAAGAAAAACTCCAAATTTTTTTATTGAATACAAGTATTATTTTTAATTTTATTAATTTAAATATACTTAGCAAATCAATAAAAAACTTTATATTTCAAAACTCTTATATTTATTAATAATATTCTTATAGACTATTCATATCAAATAATTATAAACTTAAATTTATATAACAAATAATAATTTTAATTAACATTAATCAAAATAAAATATTTTTATCTTTTTAATAAATAATTTTTTATAACTTTCTAATTACAATACTTATTAATAATCAATAAAATTCAAATACAATACTATTGTATATATGGATAATTTAAACCTTTTAGTAACAAACAAAGAAAGACTACAAAAAACTTCAACCTAGTTACTAAATTCTTTCAAATAATGAATTATTGATTTTTTCTTTATTATTATTAACTTAAAAAAAAAGTCAAAACTTATATATGCAGTATAAATTTCTATATTAAATTATTAAATATCAACTATTAAAAATTCAATTAAATAATTAAAAAAAAAACAATACTTTATATATTAAGTAATTGCAAAAATTAATTAAATACTTTATAATTTATATTTCTAGATGCTATCACTTTATTTAGATATTATTATCAGATTTTTTATTTCAACCAAGTAATTATAAAGCTTGTTTCTTGCACAATAACTTTATTATTAATAAATAAATACGATATTTACTTTTTAACTTTAAATATTTTATAATTTGATTCAAAGAATTTTTTTATCAAAATTTTTCATGTTTTGATATTTTCTTTCGAGTTTCTCTATTTTTTTTTTCAAGTTTCGGCATTTTTTTTTTTATTTTTTTTGAGTATTATTAATATTTTCAAAAACAATGAAATAATGAAATAAACTATTTATCACCTTTCATAGGTTGA